TGTGATAGAATGCAAATTTTAGGTCATGAAAAGRCTAGGAGAACCTAAGAGAAAATTGTTTAAACGTTTTTGATCAAATTCATCATTAGAAGATTTTAACTTAATTATTTGAATTAGGAATAACAAGACAAACGAGGAAATAATAAGCAATTATTGGATGAGGTTGAGCATGATATCGTAAATTATCAAGACCAAGGCTGAAGGCTGAGTCAGATAACACAGCCGAGGTCTTGATAATTTACGATATTATGCAATAATCGAATTCAATAATTGCTTTATTATACATTTTGTATACGGGAAAACATTAACATGAACATTAAATTATAGAGACAAGAATTACGAATGCTATGATGTAGTGTGAAAAACGCAAAATTCTTAATTCAGAAATATTTTGAGAACTCTTCATAAAATATATGAAAATAAGTTAAGGATTCTTTAAAAAATTGTTTTTGTACATAATTCTGGAAATAAATACACATAATGAATAAAAACAAAGCTACCACAGCATGACTTTGAATGAACTTGATATGATAAATGTATCATCGGTAGGAAAACCTACAGATAATACATTTATCATGTCGAGTTCATGTGATATTAGGGATTGGCTGAGGGCTCTCGACCAATCAGAATTGAGATACTTAGTAATATGTATAATAATAAAGAGGGTTGGCAGTAAGCTTACTTAATTAATTATTTAATCATTTTGACAAGAAAAACTACATAAGTAGTAACCTATGTAAAGCTTAAGACTATAGACGACTATACTTTCACCTTTAAACAGACCAAAAAATTCTATCAAACTCTGAAACAACCTCTGGGCAGAACTATTAAAGTCAGGACAGGACATCTTAAATCGAAATTTCAATAGAGAAGAAGAAGGATAACAGAAGAACCGGGTAAGAAACCTTGACTAAAGCGAAAGAKACTCAAAGCACAAGATTAGTACAAGGTTAATAATTATTGATGTCGTAGAATTTGAAAAAATGTTGGGAAAAAAACCCAGCTCAAATAAAATTATTTATCCAACAGATAACTTACCTTTATTTACAACGAAAAAATTCTTTTGCCTCTGTGCGTTTATCTCTCCAATTCCACCCAGTAGAAACCCTGTACATGTATCCTATGAAGAAAAAAAATTTCCTTAAGGATCAAAGATGCCTTAATTGCCATGATAAATGTAGAATTTTGCTTACTTCGTCGCCAATAACAGCGATGAGTCTTCCTTTTGCTCCTGCACTTACTCCCGCCATATTGGATTCTGAATCACATGGAAAACAAATGACATCATCACACAGGAAACCCAACCATAGTTCTAGAACACAGTCAGTCAGCTTTCGATCACTGAGTAAAAGAACCATTTATTGCAAGAACAGGACGAAAGAAAATGGATTCAGAAAGATTTTTTAACGTCGAAGACCTCCCTGCGTTAGCTGCAGAGAAAATYGCATGCTTTCTACACGGTCGAGACCTCATAAACCTTGGATATACTTGTAAATATTGGTACGAAATCGCAAACAAGAACTACGTTTGGAAGAAATTGATTGAAAATCGGTTYGGAGAAAATACGATCCAGGCCTTAGAAAACAGAGAAGGAGAAAAAGATGAATTCAAAAAACTCTATTTTAAGCTAGCCTTCAGCAAGAAGTCTGTAACAACTTTCTATATAATGCATTTGGGAAATACATATCTTGAACGAATTAGCGATAGTGAAAGTGAATATGGCGAAGTCATTCGTTTGAACTCAGTTTGTTGGTTATCAATCATTGGCAAGTTCCAAGGTGTTTTACCGGGCACATACAAGCTTTTGTGGCGAATGAAGCTGGAAAACGTCTATGCGAATGGCGAAGACATTGAATTTAGAGCCAAGCCGAAAGAGGGATACGGTACTGCTCTGACGTCAAAGTGGAGCGACATGCGGCTACAGGAAGCGGAAGAACGTTATGGAAACAATTGGTTTGTAGCCGACATGGGAAAGTTTACAGTAGATATGACATGTGAGGTAGAAGTGGAGATCTGGGGCAGAATACCTTACTGGTGTGGTGGAATAACTTGGGATACAGTACAAATTAAACCTGTGAATTAAAGACAAGACTTCAGGCTGGCGCAGTTACTGCACAGTAAAGCCTGACAACCAAAAGCATCGACWAGTAATTATCAGGGGGGAAAACAAGATGTTTATGGTCACAGGGATAAAGAACTATTGATTGGAAACATCAATGTGTGGCCTTTAGTACTCCAGGGTGGCAGTGTATAATATACCTTTCGTTGGTGTTCAGTACATGGTCTGTGTGTCGGAAAACCCCGGAAATGACGTCATTGACAAAGCGGAAGAATACTAACATAAGAACTTTTTTGAGTGAATATTATAGTGTCTCGAAGGAGTGAAAGTGATCATAATTTTTGATATGGGTGAGACACATTCCCGGCACTATTTCGAGACCTAAAATAATTTTTAAGCTCCTTCAAAATAGGAAAGCATTTAGATGTAAAATCCTAAGATTTCCTTCCACACAATGTCTGCACTCTTAGTAAACATTCTTTCGTTTCATTTGAAGTGGTGTAAGCAAGGCTAATTTAATGCAAAATTACTGACCTAAATGGCTGACATCTGTAATATCTGCCATGATTCAGGCATCCCCAGTAAATATTTAGCTCTTCTAAGATTCCTATCACAACTCCCCTCTTTACATGGACACTATACCTAAAGTTATGTACTCTACTATGACACTCGGCTGTGTGACTGTGTATGGTCCGTGCATATAAGTATTTCAACGAGTCTTGATATACAGCATCATGTACAATAATATAGTATATGTACTGTAAAAAATACTG